ATCCATAAATATATATATTTGTATATATGTATATACATAGATGCATATATCATTCAGGGGCGCCCCAAAACCCCCCGTTGGGGTGTTAAGTGTCTTCCAATCATTATTTTAAAATTTCAAATATTTTCAGTATGTTTATTGAGGTAATATTTCGAAACATTTTATAGCAACCAATCGGATAGTGCTTTATACTTTGTGTATTTCGTGGGCTCATATTTTGAAACATCATAAAAAAGCTCTCGAATATAGAGAAGATAAATGTGCAATCCCATAAAATATTTTCTAATGTACATTAGGAAATTACAGTTAATTTTCTAGCTAAAGATAGATAGGAAGCTTCATGACATGTTATAAAAACAAAAGGAATTAGTAAGAACATTAAATGGGTATCTCTTTTTGAAACTGTCCAAAACCCCCTTGGAAGCCTAAAGGCGACTACGCTCCTTTTGTAATATAGTTCTGTCTGTGGCTTAACGTTTGCGTTTGCATGATGTATTGGCATATTTGAAGCCAGAGGTTTGCTTCCATTGCAAAACCCACAAAACCCGCACGACAGACCCCTCCACCTCCACATCCACATCCACCTCCACCCGCCCACGAGTACATCTCCACATAATGCGAGCAAAAACATTTCTATAGAATTATTTACGCTTATGAATTATTGACGTAAATATTGAATGTGTATTTATGCGGTATTTTCCTTTTTAATATTCCAACTTCCAACAAAATGATGGGCTCGTTGGAGTCCATGCTGGGTGCATGTTGACAAATTGCCTGCATTTGTAATATCATTTAAAGTGCGTGTTTAGATACGAGATTATACGTGTGTTCATTCATTGATTTTGTGTGTGTGTTACAGGAATGCACGTCGCTGGCCACTGATGATTGATCCCCAGGGCCAGGCCAACAAATGGATTAAAAACTATGAGAAGAACAATAAGCTCTGTGTGATACGTCTCAATCAGCCCGATTACACTCGCGTCATGGAGAATGCCATTCAATTCGGTCTGCCAGTGCTGCTGGAGAATATTGGCGAAGAGTTGGATCCCATTTTGGAGTCGGTGCTGCTGAAGCAGCTCTTCAAGCAGGGTGGTACTCTCTGCATCAAGTTGGGCGACTCTGTGATTGAGTATAATCATAGTTTTAGGTGGATACGGAATTCGATTGGCTCCTCCCAATATGCAACATTAAAATGATTCTTTATTTCAGATTCTATATGACAACGAAGCTGCGAAATCCGCATTATCTACCCGAGGTGGCTGTTAAGGTAACCCTACTAAATTTCATGATTACCACACAGGGATTGCAGGATCAATTGCTGGGCATTACGGTGGCCCGAGAACGTCCCGACTTGGAGGCGGAGAAGAACAATCTAATTGTCCAGGGAGCTGAGAACAAGCGCATGTTGAAGGAGACTGAAGACCAGATCCTCGAAGTGCTCTCTTCTGCTGATAATATCTTGGAAGACGAGACGGCCGTACAGATATTGAGCTCGGCCAAGGCCTTGGCCAATGACATCAGTGAGAAGCAGATTATCACGGAAGCCACCGAAAAGCAGATTGATATAGCCCGGTTGAGCTATGTACCAATAGCCGAGCACTCCACAATCTTGTTCTTTACAATAGGTAATCCATTCCATCTACTGTATATGTAATCAATCTGTCTTACAGTCTTCTTGTATTTCAGTGGAATTGGCCAACATCGATCCCATGTACCAGTACAGTTTGGTTTGGTTTGTCAACCTGTACATGGCCTCCATCGACAACACGGAGAAGGTGGACGACATCGTGGCCCGTCTGCAGGACTTGCGGAATCATTTCACCTACAGCCTGTATGTCAACATCTGTCGCAGTCTGTTCGAGCGTGTGAGTGCCCATGGCTAATGCCAATTATCGTCAAGCCTTCCAGCCGTCTATCCGTCCATCCGTTGGTTGGTATCCGTTGGCTGTAGCCTTTAGCCTCGTTAGCTCCGTAATTGCGCATAATCTAATAATGTGACATTTGAAGCGTATTCCTTTGCGTTGCGTATCAGTTGCTTTGCGGCTGAGCTTCGTGCTCTACTTGACTTGACTTGCCTTGACTTGGTTTTAAATAATATTTAAGTACTTTTACTTCCAAGTACATAGTACTTGATGCCACTTCAACTGACAATGAAAGGCAGCGGCTGCAATTGCAGCCACCGTGGATGTTAACTTCTGATTGAAGGACAAAAATGTAGATTGTAGGAAATAGGAAATTATCTATCTGTGGCTCTCCTGATTAACCCCAGAAAAGTGCTGCTAACTCCATCACTCAACTACCTATACTATCCTTTCCATTTTTCCATACTTTTTGAAACTAATTTGTGATTCTAATAACCAAAGACCATCTCTACCTCGCCCACCGTGCAACTTTTGAGCTGCTCGAATAACATTATTACGTTGCTGCTGCAATCAAAGGATGTACCTTGCCAAAGGAAAGTGGAAGAAAAAAAGAGGAAATAAGGGAAATAATAATCCAAACAAGTTCTAGCTAGCTTTATGCTGTTTTCAGTCAATTATGCCATGCCCTTTCCCTATACCTTAACCTTCCACTGGCTCCACGGCTCCTGTCGCGACCCAGCCATGAGCTAACCTTTGATCCCGGCCTTTTAATTTTCTTTTGCAAAAAGTAAAAAACGAGGAGAACAAAATTGCTATCAGAGAAGCGTCATCGCCGCTTGGGTTGGTTCGGAAAATGCTTTGATTTCAGAGGGCAACCTTTTTGGCTTGCTGTAACCCATTTAATGCGAGAGCGAGCCCCAAACGATGACCCTGAGCCTGAGCGACCCCACTCACACATCCCATCCTGACATCCCTGACTTGAGTTCTCGTTTTTTTCGTTTTTTATGAAATGTCTTGGCCTTTGCACAGGATAAGCTGTTGTTCTCGCTTATATTGAACATCAACCTGATGAAGCACGATAACTTGATTGACAATGCCGAATGGATGTTCCTGCTGACTGGAGGCATTGGTCTGGAGAATCCGCACAAGAATCCCACCTCCTGGCTGGGCGTCCAGAACTGGGATGAGGTCTGCCGGCTGACCAATTTGCCCAACTTTAAGGGCTTACGCGAGGATTTGGTTGCGAATCCGAGCAGTTGGAAAATGTTTTTCGATTCAAAAACGCCTCAGGACAATAAGGACATACCCGCTGCCTGGAGCAAGCGCATCTCCGTCTTCCAGAAGCTGTTGCTGCTGCGGGTCTTTCGACCGGATAAACTGGTGCCAGCCGTACTTAACTTTGTGTCTGGACAGCTGGGTGCCAAGTTTGTCGACCCACCGCAATTCGATTTGATGGCCTCGTTCGGTGACTCGCACTGCTGTGTACCCCTGATTTTCATTCTGACTCCTGGCTCCGACCCCACGGCCACGCTGCTGAAGTTTGCCGAGGATCAGGGCTTCGGCACGAACCGTCTGTTCTCTCTGTCCCTGGGCCAGGGCCAGGGACCCATTGCCATGAAGATGATCGATGAGGGTGTCAAAATGGGCAACTGGGTGGTTCTGCAGAACTGCCATTTGGCAGCTAGTTTTATGCCCATGCTGGAAAAGATCTGCGAGAACTTGCTGCCAGACTCGACGCATCCGGACTTTCGTCTATGGCTTACCTCATATCCGGCCGATCATTTCCCGGTGGTGGTGCTGCAGAATGGCATAAAAATGACCAACGAACCGCCCAAGGGTCTGCGCTCTAACATTCTCCGGTCGATGTTAAGCGATCCGATCAGTGACCCGGAGTGGTACGAGTCCTGCACCCAGCCGCGAATCTTCAAGCAGCTGATCTACTCGCTCTGCTTTTTCCATGCTGTGATCCAGGAGCGCCGCACCTTCGGTCCGATCGGCTGGAACATACCTTACGAGTTCAACGAGACCGATCTACGCATATCCCTGATGCAGTTGCGCATGTTCCTCAACCAGTACGAGTCGGTAAACTACGATGCTCTGCGCTATCTCACGGGCGAGTGTAACTATGGAGGTCGTGTCACCGACGACTGGGATCGCCGTACCCTCAAGACCATACTGGACCTTTACTACTGCCCCGCGGTGATCGACCTGGAGAAGCCATACTATCTGGACGACTCAGAGTTGTACTATATCCCCGTGTTCAAGGAGGTCGATTTGTATATGACCTATACCCGAGAGCTGCCACAGATCTCGTCACCGGCCATCTTTGGCTTCCACGCCAATGCGGACATTATGAGGGACCAAAAGGAGACGGACATGTTGCTCTCGCACACTCTGCTGACACAGGTAAGTCCATTTCTGATCATGCTTTTAGAGAATTGCATAGTTTTTATACTTGAAATTGGGGCTTAGAACATTCGTATGTCCTCTCATTTACATACGATTTGTATACTTTTGTTATGAAACACTCCTACATTGCTTTTTTATACACATTCCTGCTTGCCAAAAAAAGGATCGTTGGGTAAGCTTCTTCAAAGTATTTCCTTAAGTTCAAAATGTAATAAATTTAACGCTTTAATTGCCGCATTGCATTCGAAACAGGACCTCTATGAGAGACGTGTAAGTGCCAGCTAATGCTTGATAGAAGCTTGCTTCCTTATGGATATTTTTGCTTATTCCGCTCCGCCAACATGCCGCATTATAGAAACTGGAGAAAACACAAAGGGTCTATGTAGAACTGCTTAGTAAACGCTTTCCCGAGAACCTATCCCTACCCACTTATCCCACAAGTCCCCCCTTCCTTGCCCTGTACCCATTGCCCCTGAAGGATACGAGTGCCTCTGCCGATGACAAGGAAGACTCGAAAGCCCTCACACCCGAGGAGGTGGTGACCAATGTGGCCACCGATATTCTGGATAAACTACCCAAGCTCTTCGATCGAGATGCGGCCCTGCTCAAGTATCCTACCATATACCATCAGAGCATGAATACTGTGCTGGTGCAGGAAATGGTGCGCTTCAATGTCCTGCTGAACACCATCCGCACGAGTTTAATTACACTGAGAAAGGGAATCAAGGGTAAGTTTACGCAATTCGAAAATTTATTTCCAAATTTTTTTAAACACGTGAACCAGAACATCTTTGCGCCTTATTTACGCCGCGAACGGTTCGACCCAGTATCTGAGGTAGCCTTTTCAACTTCATGGGAGGTGGTTGGCTTTGTGGGGAGAATTTGATCTGAGCTTCGGTGTTCTATGGTTTCAATCAAATTGTATTCACTTGCCACACGGCTAGCCGATGTGTTGAAGCTGGTTTTGAAGACGGACCCGCCGGGCCTAAGGTCAGCCTCATGTTCTTTCGGATCGAGAAGCTGTATCGGTGTTTTGTTGAGATTCTCGTCATCTTCTAGGGTAATAATCTTAACCTGGGACTTCTTTTTTATTGTCGAGCCATCAAGTTCTGGCACCTCTTCTTTGGGAGATAAATGTTCTTCTTCTACTTCTTCATTATATGTGTCGTATTCAAAATGTTCAATTTCCAGCTCATCATCGGCTTCAGACATATAATAATAAGGCTCAAAATGACCCTCAACTTGAGCCGAAAATTCAGACTCTGTTTCAATCCATCCTTCAGATTCTTCTTCAAACTCATCCTCCACCAATTTTACGGAATTCTCTTCGCGAACCTCACTTGATTTGATGAGAGGGCTGTGCAAAATCTGAGTTTGTATATGTACATCGGGATCTTCTTGGACGTGGTCATCCTCATAGTATTTGTCAACGGTTTCCAATTCCCTGGTGATCTTGTCGTTTGTCATTCTCTTAAACAAGTTTAGCAACTGAATCCGGAGCAGTTCTGTGTCTGGCAGTGACGGCTGATCTCTGATTGCCCGATAGTCAATATTTTCTAACTTACGAATGTCGTCCGTTAGGCGGATTCTACGGTTTGATACGATACTATGTAAAGGTATCAATTGAGAGGGTAAAACCGGTAGTGGATTCTCGATCTTGTTCATGATTTCTGCGAAGACATCATCGAATAGATCGTTTTGGTTCTCGTGCACAATGCGTTCGGTTTCATCTTTCCAACGTTGTCCGGGGACTGCCTGGCGGATAAGCTTTCGTATAATAGCCTTTGCCTCGTAGCTTGATGTTTTCTGCGGTGTGTCACTTTCGCTGTCCGTGGAGAATAGATAGAGATCGTTGTCGATGAGGCGATCAATGAAGTCGCTAGTCAGGGTGGTGGATATGTCGAATGGTTCTAGCTCCTCCCACACTCTGCCAAATATTACGTCCTCAACAATATAATTAGCGATAAGAGCCTTCTCATGACGATCGAGAGCAGCACTCATGTCTGGGGAGACCATGTCACGTAGCATGACACGCAGTGGAGCATAGGTTAGTGGCGTCTGAATGAGCTTGAAGCTCTCCAACCAACGCTCGATATCGGCATCAATAACTTTTGCAAGATCGGTCACGGTTTCAGCAGCGTCATTTTCAGCTATGTGGCTCATATCTGTTGTAAGAATGGTATTGAGATACTTATCGCTAACTTCTCTGTTGGCCACATTGCACTTCTGGAACAATTCTTCATAGAGCTTTCGCATTTCGTTCTCCTTCTGCCGAAGCCCTGCCTCGCCCGCCTCACGTCTCCATCGCTCTTTCTGGACCAGCATGGCTAATAGGTGGAGCTTTCGGAGCTCCTTCAATCGTCCCGCCTCTTCGGTTAGGAACTCCATGACCCAACCAATGTGGGTACCTTCGTACGTGTGCAATAGCTTCTCTAGTTCCTGACTGCTTCTCTCATCTCGCATCCGCTTGCTGAACACTGAGCTTAGTGCTGGTGAAGAAGACTTAACTTTATAGGGAGAGGAGGATTGGTTTGGCGATAGGATCTCTGAGGAATCTTCCTTGGCGATTCGCTTGGTGCCGTATGTGGCAGTTGGATCTTGGTATTCAAAATCATAATGTATCGAGGATTTTCTCTCAGCATTGGGTATCAGTCGTTTCTTGAGACATTTTGGTTGTGACTTCTCCTTCCGCGCCATTGTTCTCAAGCCCTTCAAGGAGTCGTAGAGCTTTTGCAAATTTTTATCAGAGCAGAAGTTCTGTTCGTGCTCCTTGATACTCTCTTTAGGCTTTGACCATTCCTTGAGCTTTCTGAACGGACACTGTAGTTTCTGCATGTTCACTCGCTTCTCCAGATCGTCAATTCTCATGTCGAAGGCCTTGCTATTGGTGCCAACAAAGCTGCGACGCGCCGGATCAACACCGTGTCTAATGAGTGGTCCATAGAACTCGGAGCACGGTGATCCCAAAGCATACATAGGAGTCTGCCTCTTCCACTTTTGGGACGTGGGATTACGCTGGCTTTCGAGACGATGCTTGCCACGCAGATACTCCATCTTGTTTTTGTGCAGACCCTCCTGCCTGCGTTTCTCGATTCGTTCGCAAGCGATTTCAATGCGCGTCTTGGATGCTAAATGCATCTCCTTCTCGCGCTTGTCGAACATCTTTATGACGATCTCCAGTCGCATCATCTGACACTCCTGTATGTACTCCTCCCGCTCGATCCAACTCTCCCATTCAAAAGCTTCCAGTATGTGCTTGTATTTGGTTTGCATTGTCAACTCCCGAGCCGCATGCAATTGTTTCATAAAGTTTGTCTTCACTGCCTTATTGAAGGCCCAGCGCTTGCGGGCACGCTCAAGGATCTCGACTTCATGGAGTCCCGGTGGCTTATCTCCAGGCAGCAAAGACGGTAGGCAAAATAGCTCCAGATGCTCATCTATCTCCTTGTCCATGATCTCTGGCAAATAGGCTACCGTTTGTGCAGAGGACTCCCTGGGAATCAGACAGTATAATGCTATCATCTAGAAATATAGACTTTCCCTCGGCTTACCTATAGAGCGTTTGGGTTCCCTGCTCCTTGAATGGCCGCTTGTCCACATATTTCGGGAAGAAATCGCATTTGTTCTTTAAATTCTTCACCACAGGCACCGAGGGACTCATCTTGACTTCGTGAGAAGTTACATCTGTATTTCGTTCTATGAGAAAGTCAATTCCCGGTGCCTTGAAGTGGCATTCACTGTCTGTACGAGGCAGTTTACCAGTAGACCGATCGGCCGGGTTGTTAGCACCTGCAGGGGGTATCAAGAATGTGTGAAGGTTCAAATAGTGATCAAGAGAAAACATTTCTGCTTCCGTTTTGCACTTACCGGCCGGTAGTCGACGATCCAATGAAGACCTTGTGATCAAACAAGATGTAAGTCCCTGAAGGCAGGCGTCTTTTGGGATCTGTGGCGACTCTCCATGAGACCTTTGCTTTCTGAATGTGACCCGTTTGGTCTGCCCTGGCGACTGCTTCCTTTGGCGTCCAGGTGAATATGTGGAAGCATCCACCTTTGTAATTGTATTTCGTTTCTCTTTTTCTTCGAGGAGGCCCATTTGTTTTTGGGCCCCGTTCAGTTTCTTTTCATGTGCTGGCATTTTGAATGAGACCTATCTATCTATCTACCTATCTTTGTAGGGTCACCGCGAAATTTTTCCGCAACACACGATTATTTTATGGTGTATTGTTTAAGTGTTTGGGGATTGACGTGTTATTTATACTAATTTAATTTCCAGTTTTCCATTTGGCATATGCCATATGTTTCGTGAACAGCCTACTGTATTATGATAACTGGTGCTTTTTCCATTCAATGCAGGTTTGGTGGTGATGTCTGCCGCTGTGGAGGCCGTCTACAAGTCTGTCCTGATAGCGAAGATACCAGCAATGTGGGCTGGTAAATCGTATCCCAGCCTGAAGCCACTCGGCAGCTACGTAACCGACTTTCTACATCGCCTGGAATTCCTGCAGGTAAGCGAAGCATTTTGCCAGTTAGCAACGGAGGCGCTGCTAGGGAGCCGACATTTGTTTGCTGCGCCAATCGATAAGAGGTGCCCTGGTACGGATAACGGGTACCTGAAATAAACATATGTGTTCCATCCATTTCAGCACTGGTACGACCATGGCGCTCCCTCCACCTTCTGGCTGTCTGGATTCTTCTTCACCCAGGCCTTCCTCACTGGCGCCCAGCAGAACTATGCACGAAAGTATGTCATTTCCATAGATCTGCTTGCCTTTGACTACGAGGTGCTCTCGCTGGAGGAGAACCAAATCAAGGGTATCACTGCACCCGCCGATGGAGTGTTTGTGTATGGGATTTACCTGGAGGGTGCCCGTTGGGATCGCACGGCCAAATATTTGGCCGAGTCGCGTCCAAGGGAACTGTTCGACCCCATGCCCTTGATATGGCTGAAGCCCCTTAAGCGGACCGATCTCCCCGAGCGTCACAACTATCTGTGTCCGCTCTACAAGACAGCCGAACGCCGCGGTGTCCTCTCCACCACGGGACACAGTACCAACTTTGTGGTGGCCATGCTGCTGCTCTGCAATCCAAATACCCCTACGTCCCACTGGATTAATCGTGGCACGGCGCTGCTCTGTCAGCTGAGTTTCTAATATTCCAGATATATTTGATTAAATTATATATTTTCTACATCTATGTCTTAGAAAGTGCCTTTGGAAGCTGCAATAAAAGTAAAAGTCAAGTGTTTAGTTATATACATTGACAGTGTAATTTCTCGGTTGGTTATTGCTCGGGATTCCTACTGGGGTATATCCTAAGTCAAAGGATTCCAATTAGAAAGTCTGTTATTTGGAAGGACCAATCATTGTAGCAGTATTGTTGGGGTATGCAGCTCGGTATTAACAATCTATATTAAAAATTATTTTGTATACTTTCTTAATTTTTAATTATAACGTATTTTTTTATTCCACTACAACCACTGCACATGTATGGAATTAAAGACAAAGTACCATTTTCATGGAAATTAATAATAACTGTCACGAAATTTAAAAATCATCTGAACTTAAATATTTGAGAATTCGCCACGATTGTCTCAGCGGTTACCGAGGCGGCTTCTTCCTTGGGAAAATATTCATCTTCCACATTTTCAGTGCCTTCTTGAGAGGTAAAGGGAAGACTAAAGTCTTCCGGTGTCGCGTGAGCTCTAGAATCAGTCTTATCGGACATATCTTCCTCTTCTTTATATATACCTTCTTCTTCCTCGAAGACCGCCTCCTGGAGACTGCTAGGGTCTTCCAAAAAATTGACCGGTAGGACATGAAACTCTACTTCTACTTCTAATTCTTCTTTGGCATGCTTAAGCATCTTAAAGTCCTTCTCCTTGCTTAGATCTAACACTCCAGTGACGCCGAACACATCCTCTGGTACGTTTTCCTGTGAGTCATTAATGATGTTAAACACCTCTGATTTTATAAACATATCCAATTGTTCAGGTGCATTGTCATCTCCATGGTACTTATCGAAGGTCTTCAACCCAGCGGTAACATTGTCCTTTTCAATTTTTTTTTGTAGAGATAGTATTTGAATGCGCTCCAATTCAGAATTTGGCAATGAGTTTTGGAACATTGTGAGGTCATTATTACACAACGATCGAAAATTGTCAGTCTTCGAAATGTGACCCTGAGATTGACACGAATGGACACTAATTAGGTCAGACGATTTCACCGGTGGAGGATTATCGATTTTATTCATGATTTCTGCGAAGACATCATCGAATAGATCGTTTTGGTTCTCGTGCACAATGCGTTCGATTTCATCTTTCCAGCGCTGTCCGGGAACTGCCTGGCGGATAAGCTTTCGTATAATAGCCTTAGCCTCGTAGCTTGAAGTTTTCTGCGGTGAGTCACTTTCGCTGTCCGTGGAGAATAAGTAGAGATCGTTGTCGATGAGGCGATCAATGAAGTCGCTAGTCAGGGTGGTGGATATGTCGAATGGTTCTAGCTCCTCCCACACTCTGCCAAATATTACGTCCTCAACAATATAATTAGCGATAAGAGCCTTCTCATGACGATCAAGAGCAGCATCCATGTCTGGTGAGACCATGTCACGTAGCATGAGACGCAGTGGAGCATAGGTTAGTGGCGTCTGAATGAGCTTGAAGCTCTCTAGCCATCGCTGGATATCTAAATCGATTTGCTTGGCCTGCCCGGTCACCGTTAGAGCGGCCTCGCTCTCTGCTATGTGGCTCATATCTGTTGTTAAAAGCGCGCTGAGATATTTATTGCTGACCTGATAGTGTGCCCCAATACTCTTCTGGAACAATTCTTCGTATAGCTTTCTCAGTTCATTCTCCTTCTGCCGCAATCCTGCTTCACCCGCTTCGCGTCGCCATCTCTCCCTTTGGGCCAACATGGTAAAGAAGTGGAGCTTTCGATATTCCTTCAGCCGCCCCATTTCCTCAGAGAGGAACTGCATGATGCCACCAATATAAGTGCCTTCGTACGTTTTCAGTAAATTCTCAAAAGCTTCGTTTCTTCTCTGAGACTCCAAGTGCTTTGCATACAATGTGCCTCTTCTTGTTGGAAGACGACCGGGCGTCTGCGTCGGCTCTGGCGGTTGAATCTGTTTTGGCGCTGCCTGATAGAAATCTATGTGGGTGTAACTTGGATATTTCTCGTACTTATCCGAGGTCAATTGCTTTCTTTTCTTACGACACTTCGGTTCGGTCCGGTTTTCCATAGTCGACTGCGTTCTCAAGCCCTTCAAGGACTCGTATAGCTTTTGCAAATTTTTGTCATTGCAGAAGTTCTGTTCATACGCCTTAACATACTCTTTGGGCTTGGACCATTCCTTGAGTTTTCGGAATGGACACGTCACGTTGTTCATGTTCACGCGCTTCTCCAGGTCGTCCATCCTAATATCGAAGGCTTTGCGGTTAGTGCCTAAGAAACTCCGACGTGCCGGATCTACACCGTGTCTGATTAGTGGTCCATAGAACTCGGAGCACGGTGATCCCAAAGAATACAGGGGACTCTGCTTTTGCCATTTCCGGGATGTCTTTGCGAGTTGTATATCGAGCCGGCGCTTACTTCGCTGATACTCTATCTCGTTCTTGTGAAGACCAGCTTGACGGCGCATCTCGATGCGCTCGCAAGCCATTTCAATGCGTTTTTTGGATGCTAAATGCATCTCCTTCTCGCGCCTGTCGAACATTTTTATAACGATCTCGAGGCGCATCCTCTGACACTCCTGTATGTACTCCTCCCGCACGATCCAACTCTCCCATTCAAAAGCTTCCAGTATGTGCTTGTATTTGGTTTGCATTGTCAACTCCCGAGCCTCATGCAATTGTTTCATAAAGTTTGTCTTCACTGCCTTATTGAAGGCCCAGCGCTTGCGGGCACGCTCAAGGATCTCGACTTCATGCAGTCCCGGTGGCTTGTCTCCAGGCAGCAAAGCCGGTAGGGTAAACAGCTCTAGATGCTCATCCATCTCTTTGTTCATGATCTCTGGCAAATAGGCCACCGTTTGTGCAGAGGATTCCCTGGGAATCAGACAGAGTAATGCTCTCATCTAGAAATAATGGTCAAAGTCATATAGGCTTACCTATAGAGCGTTTGTGTTCCCTGTTCCTTGAATGGTCGCTTGTCCACAAATTTCGGGAAGAAATCGCATTTGGTAGAATCAATCCCAATCAAAGTCGCCGAAGGACGCATTTTGATCTCATGGGTTGTTATATTAGTATCCCGTGATGTTAGAAAATCGATACCCGGTGCCTTGAACTGGCATTCGCTGTCTGTACGAGGCAATCTTTTCACCGACCTTTCGCCAGGATTGTTGGCACCTACATATTAAGGGATGAAGAATAAATGGAAGAATAAAATGTTGATCTTACACCCACCGGCCTGTAATCGTTGGCCCACCGGTGACATCGTGATCAGACCTGATGTGAGGCCCTTTCCAGCTTGCATGAAACCTTTTTTGGCCTTCGGTGGTTGGTCATTACCTCCATTGCCTAGTTTGTTGCCAAAAGTGACCCGTTTGGTGTGACTTGGCAATTGCTCCTTTTGAGGAACGGGTTGGCGTAAATGTTGTGCACTATCGAAACGGGTTGGTCCGGTCTGGTGATTGTCATGGAGCACCCGATGGCCTCGAAGCTCCCTTAAGGTTCGTTTCTTCTGCTCTGGCATTTCTGTGTGGCTCCCTAATTACTGGGTAAACTATTGTCTATTGTAATGTGAGATATATCGTGAATGTTTAGATGTTTGATGTTTGATGTCTGATTCGTGATTGAGTTGAATGTTTTTCAACCAGCATACTAGGTAAAATTCTCTTGGCAGCTGTGCTACCGACTTTCTGCATCGAGTATTCGGAGGTAATCTAAACATTTGGCTTGTAAGTAGATCAGGCAGTGGGAGGAAATCGCCAGCAACCGCTGTGCTGTTAGACCCCGATTAATGAACGAGCAAGAAGGGAATATGAAAATCTATTTTGGATGTGGATGAGTGTAACGTTTCCGACTGAGTCTATATAGCTCTGTCCGTCCCGATGAGCGCCTAGATCTCAGAGACTATAAGAGCTAGAGAAATCTAATTTTGTACACTATTAGATTATAAGCACTATTAGAAGTGTATCTAAATATTTACTTAATACATACTATCTTATGAAAAAAAAACCTATGAACTATTAAAAGTCATTTCATTGTGTGTATTAATTAGTAGAAAAATACATATATATTCGAACTGTAACTGTACTAAAATATGAATAAAAGTTAACCAACTAATGCAGTTATTTCAAAGCTGTTCTTTTTTAACAAATTCTTAGATAGAGACGACGTATCCAGTTCATCTTCTTCTTGAGCTTTTTCGATGAGGTTCTTAATGAGATTATGATCCGATTCTATTGAGGCTTCGATATTATCAATAGACTCTATTTCATAGTTTTCTTCATCGTATTCGGAGGTTTTTTCAGTCAGACTAGGATTGTTAATTTTCGGCGACTCTACCTTTTCCACCATCTTTCTACCCATTTGCACATCTATCTTTGCCTCCATCTTCATCTCTTCCTCTAAACCAATCGATATTTTGTCTTCAATTGATATCGCCATTTCCTCCTTCACTGTCATCTCCGTTTCAGTCACTATGTCTGTCTCACCCGTTATGTCCATCTCCATCCCCATCTCTATCTCATGTTCCTCTACATCATCTTTTTCGCAGACGACTATTTGCGATGGAAAAATATAGTCATTCAGTTTGTATTCCAATTTGGGATGCCCGGTTCCTTTGAGCAAATTAAAGTTCTTCTCTTTACAAATATCAACAATCCCCATAATGCTGTATAGGTCAGAATCTAATTTCGGATCAGATTCTGGAGGTCCGTAGCTCTGTGACTTCATGAATACGTCTTCGCCCATTGGAATGGTCTCATCTTCAGTAAATAGTTCGTCGGTCTCCAATTTTTTGGTAATATGATCCACCGTAATTTTTTTGAATAGGGATAGGATTGTTGTTTTGAGTTCCTCCGAATACTGTGTATGGATTTGATCTCTCATGGCCTCGAACTCTAAAATCTCCATGGCTCGAATATTATCCTCCGTTTTAATGACAGTGTGCGATAGCATTGGGCCGACTTCGATTAACTGGGATGGTCGCACCGGTGGTGGATTCTCAATCTTGTTCATGATTGCTGCGAAGACATCATCGAATAGATCGTTTTGGTTCTCGTGCACAATGCGTTCGATTTCATCTTTCCAGCGCTGTCCGGGAACTGCCTGGCGGATAAGCTTTCGTATAATAGCCTTAGCCTCGTAGCTTGAAGTTTTCTGCGGTGTGTCACTTTCGCTGTCCGTGGAGAATAGATAGAGATCGTTGTCGATGAGGCGATCAATGAAGTCGCTAGTCAGGGTGGTGGATATGTCGAATGGTTCTAGCTCCTCCCACACTCTGCCAAATATCACGTCCTCAACAATATAATTAGCGATAAGAGCCTTCTCATGACGATCGAGAGCAGCATTTATGTCTGGGGAGACCATGTCACGTAGCATGAGACGCAGTGGAGCATAGGTTAGTGGCGTCTGAATGAGCTTGAAGCTCTCCAACCAACGCTCGATATCGGCATCAATGTCTTTTGCAAGACCCGTCACCGTTTTAGTGGCCTCATGGTCTGCTATGTGGATCAAATCTGTTGTAAGAATCCTTTTGAGATACTCATTGCTAACTTGTTTGTTGGCAGGGTTGCACTTCTGGAACAGCTCGTCGTATACCCTTCTCAGTTCATTCTCCTTCTGCCGCAATCCTGCTTCATTCGCTTCGCGCCGCCATCTCTCCTTTTGGGCCAAAATGGTAAAGAAGTGGAGCCTTCGCTGTTCCTTCAGCCGCCCCATTTCCTCAGAGAGGAACTGCATAATCCAACCAATATAGGTACCCTCGTACTTTTGCAAAAGATACTCTAAGTCTACTTGCCTCCTATCGTCTTGTAAGCTCTTGGCGAGTGCACTCGATCGATCAAGTTCAACTGTATGCCCCGTTTGCGGTTGCTCCATCCTTGACTTTTTAGGATTGTAGAACATAGTGGTCGAGCCTGAAAAAGAGCTCATGCGTGCATCAACTGAATGAACGCGTGGTTTGTGTCGTTTCTTCAGACTCTTGGGAGGATTTTTGTGTTCGTATTGCTGCTTTCGTAATGCCGTCAAGGAGTCGTAAAGCTTTTGTAATTTTTTTTCAGAGCAGAAGTTCTGTTCATACTCCTTAACATACTCTCTGGGCTTGGACAATTCCTTCAGTTTTCGGAACGGACACGTCACGTTGTTCATCTTCACGCGCTTCTCCAGGTCGTCCATCCTAATATCGAAGGCTTTGCGGTTAGCGCCTATAAAGTGACGACGTGCCGGATCTACACCGTGTCTGATTAGTGGTCCATAGAACTCGGAGCACGGTGATCCCAAGGAATACAGGGGACTCTGCCTTTGCCATTTCCGGGATGTCTTTGCGAGTTGTATTTCGAGCCGGCGTTTGCCTCGCTGATACTCTATCTCGTTCTTATGAAGAGCAGCTTGGCGGCGCTCCGCGATACCTTCGCAAGCCATTTCAATGCGCTTTTTGGATGATAAATGCATCTCCTTCTCGCGCTTGTCGAACATCTTTATAACGATTTCCAGACGCCTCTTCTGACACTCCTGTATGCACTCCTCCCGCTCGATCCAACTCTCCCATTCGAAGGCCTCCAGTATGGATTTGTACTTCGTTTCCATGGCCAATTCTCGGGCTTCTTGCAGTTGCCTCTTTAGGTTTGTGTTCAGTGCCTTGTTAAATGCCCAACGCTTGCGGGATCGTTCCAAGACTTCTACCTCATAGAGTCCCGGGGGCTTATCGCCAGGAAGAGCTGAAGCCAGTCTGAAAAGCTCCAGATGCTCATCTATCTCCTTGTCCTCAGTCTCCGGCAAATAGGCCAAGGTTTGTGCCGAGGCTTCCCTGGGAATCAGAAGGAGTACAAGTTTTAGCTACAAAGACCTACATAGGTCCCCGTTTAGTATTGAGCGTTACCTGTAGAGCGTTTGGGTTGCCTGCTCCTTGAATGGACGGTTGTACACGTATTTTGGAAAAAAGTCGCACTTGTTCCTTAAAGGTGTTTTCCGAGGATAAACCGAGGAATCCAGCTTGACCTCATGGGTTGTTGTATTAGTATCCTTTTCTGTGAGAAAGTCGATTCCCGGTGCCTTGAACAGGCACTCACTGTCTGTGCGTGGCAATCTGCCGGTGGACCGCTCCGCTGGGTTGTTGGCACCTATAGGAAGACCAAAGCACACGAGAAATGGGATTAGCAAACCCTTTTCGATATCATATCCTTCCGTACCTACCGCTTTTCAATCGTGGCCGCAGCGGAGACCTCGTGATCAGACATGATGATAGGCTCTGGCTGCTTCCACTGTAATCGCCCTTAAGATGTGCGGGATCTCGATTCTTGAATGTGGCATGTTGGCTGAGTTTCGGACTCTGCTCCCTTTCTATTCTGAGTGGAGACGATGGGCTTCTATTATTTCCCCTCGTTTCTCTTTCTTCCTGCAGGAAATGAAGCATTCGCTTTCTTCGGTGAAGCTCCCTCTGAGCTGACATATTATCAGGTTGATATATCTGGTGTTGGAGGTTTAAATAATAAGACAGATCTCGTTTAAAAGTTGTTGATGTAGTCTACTTGATTTGGGATATTTACTGTAACGATGGCACTATTTGCAATGAAGTATCTTTTATTTTGTTTGTCCTCAAAATCATTGGTAAATGTTTCTCAATTATAATTGAATTATATTCCGCAAAAGGGTAAATTTGGTACTGCAAGGCCCTGCCTAATGGGCAAAGCTCATCAATATCAATTTAAAAACATTGAGTTGGCCAACATTTTGGCGGCAATCTCGTCAATCCTCGAGCGGAGGAGGGAGATGCCATACCTAGATATATACAAACGACCTCCCAGGCCCCACCCAGAGTCTCGACAGGACGTTAATCATTTATTATCCTACATGTCTGTGATTATTTAGCTTTTTGTCCTGGCCCAGCCATATTTCATGTTCTTCCTCGAGCTTTAAATTTGTTAAGTCCTTTGAGATGTTTCTCCCTGCACTCTTCATCTCCTTTCTCCTGTATTCTTCCATCGTCCTTTTCCTCTGCTGGTGTGCAACTAATTTTGTGTAATAATTTATGAGCAAAGTTGGCTTTGGGAGAGTGGGAAATGCTCTTCGATAAGAAGTGTTTTTGACGATTAAGCGCAACACTCGAACAAGTTGGAGAGCGTAAATTGTTGTTTTGGCCCCCGGCCGGCGGGTCTTGGTCTTAAGCATTGAGAGTTCTTTTGTGTGCAATTTAATGCTATTTTTGCTCGTGAAAGTTTTGTTCAAAAGCCAAGAGCCAGCCACAACAAGAAGAGGTATCAGATGAAATCTGGTCGGACCTGACCCGTTTCCGACTGCCTTTTGGCAGCTTCACAGACTGGTAACTTTTAATTGGCTTCAATTTGATATCAGCTCTGGCGATAGCGATAACCTCCTCCACGGTGCCATTCGGAGTCTCATGTTCGTGTTTAGAAGGCACATTAATTATCACTGGAGGGCCTCGTTTTTATCTCAGTCTAGCTCCATCTTGCTTGCACTTTCCCATTAATTACCTTTGCTAAGCATTTGCCTATTTATCAGGTCCAGGTTTGGCACCCCGTCCTCCTCCTACGGCCTTCCGGCTGTAGTATTTTTTGCTGCCTGCGTGACCCCATCAAAAATAATGATGCTAATTAGGCAGCAGCATTTTCACGAAATGTTTAAACCGATTAACCGAGCAACTGTCAAAATCCAGCCTATCTCCGCACAAAATCCACCCCGGAAAATCGTGATTTTATATTCCAAACCTGTACAAAGGATACCCTTCCAGTGGGATCGAATCTCTGTTTTAACTTCAAGTATTGTCCATGTGAGAAGTCTTTGCCGCTCACCAGGTAGGTCTACTGGTAATTTTTTATATTTATATACCTTTTCTGAAAAGTATACTCCCATCTTCGGTTAGCAGCAATTAGATTTTTCCCCACTTCCTTTCTTTCTTCATTTATTTTTCCCATTTTTCCGTTCAGCCTTAGGGAAGGCGCTTTTCTATTTTCATTTTCCAAATAATGCGTATTTATGAGTAAACAATGAAATTATATTTACTTTCGCTCTGTCAATATTTGCATGCAATTAATTTTCCAAGCAAAAACCATCATGACCATGACGAGCAGCGAAAAATCAGAGCCAAACGAAGCGTGGAACGGAACGGATCGGAGTGGAGTGGAGGCAAAGTGCCGTAACGTGTGCGGGAGAGCTTCCGTGCTGCCCCCACTCCCCGTTCCTTTTGAAGGCTTCTCCTTTTTGCCGCAATTTACTTTAAAAGTATTGCTAACGAAGGAATCGAAGACGACGAGTGGCTGTCATATCTTTTCTCTCTGGCATTGCCTTTGCCGTTGCCTTTGCTGTTGCCTTTGCTGTTGCTGTTGTTATTGTATCTGTCGGGCCTGATGATGGGCGATGATAACGATGCTCCCAAGAATAAGTTTTCCCAAGTTTGCCTTGCCTTGCGCTGCCTGGCGCTGCCTCTGCCCGTCACTGTTGACTGCCTTTGGCGCATCCTTTGTGGCGGGTATGCCACCAGCCCTCAAGAAGTTCTGGCTTATGCCAGCCGAATCTTGCCTTCCACTCCCTTTAAAAAACTTCGTTTGCATGCTCTCGACTTTTTTAATTAAATCTTCAAGCAGAAGACCAATAGAATTGGCCAAAGTGCGGCCGAGTATTGGGAAACAGCCGTCTGAACCCTGTCCCACCCATTCCCCCGAAATAAAGCCATTAAACTACATCCAGCTCGGCCCGCTTAATGGCCAGGCCGTTTAAATTTCCAGGGCTGAACCGCAACGGCACAGCACGACCAGCAGGCCAACGGGAAAGGGATCTCGCTCGGTTTGATTTTATGTTATCAAAAATATTTTCAGGCACTTAAATTAATTTATAGCCCTGCAGAGCCCATCCGAAACAGCTAAATATCAGTGGAGAGGCTTTTATAGGCCTCCCGCAGGCAGATGCTTAGGCGGGGAGGGGCTGCTAATAAAATGCGTTCGGAATGTAATCAAATTTGTGGGGAATTTGTAGCTAAGTAAGACCAATTCGAACTTTATTAAAATCCAATTAAGTATTGATTTTGATACTCTACTTTCTATACTCATAATTTTGGTGCTTTTATCATCACTTATTTATCCTCTTTTTGTTGATCCTTTTATAGCGACGCCTCTGAATTCAGATAAATTAATGTTCTAAGCGCAAAAAATTGTAAATCAATATTTATTGTAATGCACATTGCTTGTATTTTATGCCCTACCATTAGGGGTACTATAAGTTTTCTAACGATGCTCAGAGACGGTAGACAAATGTTTCAAAAACAGCTCCGTCTATGGCTAGCGTAGGCAAACTAATATGTTTTTCAGTCAATGACCAAGATCGAATATCATTATACTCTATACGAGTACTATAAATATCCCCCTAAGGGCATTGCTTCTTCGCCCTCTTGACGCTAGACATTTCCTATTTCCAATTTCCTTTGTCCTTCCATTTTTTGGGTTGTTGGCTTTTGTGTTGTTTTGCTTTTCGCGCTTATGTCGTAAAATTTATGACACGAAATGTTTTGGCATTACTTTTGGGCGGTTTATCTGCGGCCATGTACCACTCACAAAGGTAGGCGGTGGTGTTGGCGGCTTGTTAGGCGTGGCATGTGGTTTTGTTTGCCCTTTTTTCCCCTCCTTCCCTTCCCCTCTCGGTTATTTTCGAAATGGGACATACTCGTACGTACACACGTATACATATGTTTGAAAATTGTTAGATTTATGCAGGAAAATTTACATTTTTGCCTTTTTTATGCTTTGTTGCTGGGAATGGAGGGGATTTGGCTTTGAGAATTCCATAACATTTTTCCGTCGGGGGCCGACCATCGTCGGTGAGCCATTTATCAACTACTGCGAAGGAACTTTTCGGGGCCAGAACATAAAATTGCACTTATGCAGCATCCAGCGAAGCAACCAATCTAACCATAACCAACCAGCCATAACCAAAGCCCAGCCAAGTGCATGGGGGTTGCTCGGAGCCCGATTCAGACCCCGACCCCGACCCAGACCTTCCACATCCTTCCTTCCTTCCCGGTAATCCCTCTTTTCTCACTCCCTGGGATACGGAAAAACTATTCTCGCATTCAGAGCGCACATCTTGAGTGTGTTTGTTAGGGAGTCTAGTGGCGGTAGTAGTCGGCGGTTAGTCCTATACCATTTGCCTTGCCTTGAGACCGCATAAATTGCTTTAGCACCAAAGGGATTTGTGTCAAAATCAGACCAAAACAGCCCGCTCAAACACAAGAAGGCTCCACTTAACTCTGCCCCCCCCCTTCGTTTGGAGTCTATAATAGAGGAAGTCCGTGTGCATTGTGGGGAATACTTGATCCTCTTCATAGAGTCGGCTGAGGCTGGCCCCATCTACTCGTACCGTTTGTTAAATTGTGCGATATTTAAGATGTGAGACAAGGCAATGACAGTTCCATATAGTTTTCCATATTTGACTAATGAAAATGAAGTACCCATGAACAGTTTTGTAGACTCGAGAGCATTTCTCTAATAAGTGATCATACCCCCACCCTTGTGCAGGATACAGGAGTCCTTGAACAGGTTGAGATGAGAATGCAAAAAGTCCTCCTCGCTTGGCTAACGAACGTGTTCTACCATTCACAATATGGAAATGTCAAGGAAAGCCCTCGCCCCAAACGAGTGTATCCCTTTTGTTGGCTGCCCAGCAAAGTGGCAATCTGTAATAATATTTATGTATTCCCTTTATTTTGCGCACTCATCCAAGTTCATTACAAATGCATGATGCTCTCCGTCCAATGGCATCGACAAAAAAGGGAATACTTGCCAAAAGTTTTGCCTTAATTTGGAGCATTTTCTGTTGCTGCTCCGACCAAAAAGTTTTTCTACTTCAATGGCGACTGCCTCATGTACTCCTTGGGCCCAGGCACATATGTGCACAGCAGAGGAGTGCGAGGATACATACACATGTACATACATATATACACATGGGTTTCTGAATGGTCTGAGTGTGTTAGGGGCGGCCATATTACGGTCTGGCAAATCAGCTTACAACTTAAATTGAGGCACTTTCGTTTAGCTTTACTTCACTTTGCATGCCCGCCTGCCGCTCTGCCACCGTCTCCGTGTCCGTGCCACAGATCCTTGAGTGGTTCGAGGCCTTTGGAGTAGGCACAACAGAGGAGGAGATACGGAGCTTCGGAGCTTCGGAGAAAGGACCCGCCCCGGTTGAAAGGAAGCAAACAAACCGCCGGTGGCACAATTTAGTTCCTCAGGGAAATGCTAAAGTTTTCCCTCTTGTTGTTGCGTTTTTCTTCTTTCTTTTCTTTGGTTGTTGTTGCTGTTGTTGTTGTTGTGCGGTAGAACTTTTCACTTGCTCTATTTACCAGGATATTTCTGCCTTCTGCATGTGTGTGCGTGTGCCCGGGTGTGTGTGTGTGTATGGGTATTAGAAATAAATCAAGGGATTTTTGGGATTTCGGTTTT